TCCCTTCCTTTCTCTCCCTCCTCTTTTCCTTGTTTCGTGGTACTCTTCTCCTCATGCTCTTCCTTCCTACTCTGTTTTGAGTCACCTCCCTATATCAGAGAAGACATTTGGCATTTGTTTTTTAGGGATTGGCTAACTTCGCTTAGCATAATTTGCTCTACTGCCATCCATTTCCCTGCAAATGCCATGATTTTGTTATTTTTTAATGCTGAGTAATATTTCATTGTGTATAAATGCCACATTTAATTTTAATGTTTTGACTTCAAGAGCATACATTAAAGATATTAAATTCATTACTTTTCCAGTGAATTTATTTATTTATTTATTGGTTGTTCACAACATTACAAAGCTCTTGACATATCATACTTCAAACAATAGTTTCAAGTGAGTTATGAACTCCCATTTTTACCCCAAATACAGATTGCAGAATCACATAGGTTACACATTCATTCTTGAACAGTGTACCCAATACTAGGAAAATACACATCTTAATATGGAGAAAAGGGTACACTGATAAATTGTTGGTGGGATTGCAATTTAGTCCAACCACTCTGAAAAGCAGTATGGAGATTCTTCAGAAACCTAGAAATATGGAACCACCATTTGACCCAGTTATCCCACTCTTTAGAATATATCCAAAGGGGTTAAAATCAGAATACCAAAGTGATACAGCCACTTCCATGTTTTTAGCAGCACAATTCACAAAACTATGGAACAAACCTAGGTGCCCTTCAACAGATGAATGGATAAAGAAAATGTGGTGTATATATATATACAACAGAATATTAGGAATAAATAAAAATGACTTTATGAGTAAGCCAATCCCCCCAAACCAAAGGTTGAATGTCTTCTCTGATATGTGGATGCTAACCCATAATAAGGAGAGTGGGGAGAATATAAGTTCAGTGGATTAGACAAAAGGAAATGAAGGGAAGGGAGGGAGGATAGGAATAGGAAAGACAATGGAATGAATTTGACATGACTTTCCAATATACATATATGAATACACCACAGTGAATCTCACCATTGTGTACACCCACAAAACTGGATCCTAATTAGAATAAGATATATTCCATGTTTGTATAAATAAATGAAAATAGATTCTACTGTCATGAATAACTAATAGGTCCAATATGAAATTTAAAAATACCCACAAATACATTTATTTTTTTGGATACCGGGAATTGAACTCAGGGGCACTCAACAACTAAGTCACATCTCCAGCCCTATTTTGTATTTTATTTCGAGACTGAGTTTCACTAAGTTGCTTAGTGCCTCACTATCGCTGAGGCTGGCTTTGAATCAGGATCCTTCTGCCTCAGCTTCCCAAACTGCTGGGATTACAGGTGTGTGCCACTGCGCCTGGCCAAATACGTATCTTTTCACCTTTAGTTAATTCTGATAATCAACTTGTACTTGAGGCTAGTGTAAGTTTAACCTTCTCACGTGTCTTCCTTTCATTAACATCTTTAAAATTAAATGTTCAAAAATAGAATAGGTAGATGATACAAACTATTAGTAATTTTTTGCACTTTATATTATATATGGAAAATGAAAAATTTAGAAATGTGCCAAGGAGCTGAGAATTGAAGCCACCGTTGGGTTCTAGATATGCATTTGCCCTTTGCTATTGACTCTTCTAAGATGACAGTAAGATTATGTACTTGTGATATGACTAGTGGAAGACGCTGCAGATTGTGAAGTAGGAGAACTAGTCTTTATCCACACTCAGCAAATCTGACATTTCTGGAATTCAAATTCTTTCTCTACAAAAATATGACCCAGATTCTGAGGCTACTATTGACTTTCAGATTCTATTTTGAAAAAGAAAAAATATTTTCCTGAGCTGTGTGTTTGGCCTAATAGAATATTGCTAGAATGCATGATCTACGGATAGTCACACACTGTTGTAAAAATGATTATTCCCCTTTTGAGATGTTTCTTCTTTTAATATGATTTGCAAGAACATTTGGGCTTGATTGTCATTTCGTTATTATTTGTTCACATTAGATGTTCACTCCAGGCAGCTGTTTATGAAATTGGACATGACTCATTGATCTGTGAGTATTGATTCTCAGAGCAATCAATGGACTGAAAGAAATGCACCAAAATTCAAATCACCATAATCATTCACAAATGCGAAAGGGAAATTCTCTTTCATTTCACTTTTGATTTCCAATTGAGATATACCAGAAAGAGTCTCAGCTTGGTGTCTGTCAACTAGAAAAAACACTAAAAATTGTAAAGCGTCAAAGGATACTTTGAAACTTGGGAGAAAATTAGGTTAGAATACATTGATCAAAATTACTGTATTTGTTCCGGACTAGGGCCCTGCAGTCACCTGACTAGAGCCTTTATATCTACAGCCATCAGCAATTGTTCCACTAGTTAACCATACATGTTGCAACTTTAAGGTTATTGGAGTCCAATGGTGATTTCCCCCGCCAACCTACGGTAAGTGACAAATAAATATGTGGACTGTTTTGCTTATGCGAATTATTTAGGAAATTCCTGTTGAACTAGAAATACAAGAACTGAAATTAAATGCAGAAAAGAATTACCAGTTTTTCACGTAGGACATGGTAAATTAATATTTGTTAATAAAAAAGAAAATTGAGAATATTTCTAGAACCTACAGTTATTTAATAGTAAAAAAAAAAGTTCTTTTTAGGAAACAGGGATACTTGTTTAAAGGAACTTCCTCTTGCATACTAACATGTAGATTTAATTTCTATTTTTCATATAGGCCCAGTTTTCTTTTATTTGTTATTTTAAAATCATAAATTTCCACAAATAATAGAGTGACAGAAAGAAGGATTAGAGTTCAGGATTGCCAAATAGAGAATAAGTAAATTGAAATAAGTTAGCTATCCCATTGCATAATTTTTATATAAAATTGAAGTTCTAGATTTTTTGAAGTGCTAATGGAAATTTAAAAAATAAAGGGTAATGACAGAAATTTTTAGAAGAATAATTATGAGAAAGGACCTTAACACTTTATGAACAGAATAAACTTAGGAAATTGTTTCTTCAATCAACGAGGTATGAATCCAAAATTTTTAAATCTACTTTTATTGTTGTTGTTCTTTAGGTTCAAATGCCTTCTGGACATCTCCACTTTTTGCCATTCAGTTCTGTTGTATAAAAATCTGTATTTTTTCCAATTATAATTTCTATCATGGATCTGCTCAGAAAGTCTATCCTTATAAAATATATATATTATTTTATAATATATTTTAATACTCTTTTGACTTAATTTTTCACATTTAATATATTTTTACATCTGGAACTTATTTTTGTGTTTGGGGAAAACTCTAAGGATTTTTTTTTCCTCTCTCTCTCTTTGGTACTGGGGATTCAATCCAAGGGTGTTCTATCACTGAGCTACATTCTCATGAAAAATGTTTTCATTTTTTATTTCGAGGCAGGGTCTTTCTCAATTGCCTCAAACTTGCAATTCTCCTGCTTCAGCCTCCATGCCTTTTGTATTTTTCTGGTTGATATTAATTTTTGTCTTTTTAGTCTTTTTCCATCTTATAGGTTAGTGGGAATTCTAAGTGATCAAGTACTGTGAGTGTTGGGCACAGATTTATCATGCTTGTTATTGAGTTCCTGACATCTGCCACAATGCCTAGGTGATAGTAATATTTTAGTAAATATTATTGAATGGATAAATTATTAAAGTGGAAAAATGTTTCATAATCTACTTTAACTAAATTACATTTTCCTATTTCCCCTTTGTATCTTTCATATCTAAAAGTCTTTTATATCTTAGAAATATTTTCTGGAAGGGATATTAGGGATTGAATTCAGGGCCTCATGCATGCTAGGTAAGTGCTCTACCATTGAGCTATATCCCAGCCCTTTTTAATTTATTTTGAGGCAAGGTCTCAAAATTTTTAATTTATTTGGCTTTGAACTTTCAGTCCTTCTGTCTCAGCCTTCCAAATAGCTGGAGTTACAGGTGTGTGTCACTGCATCCAGCTATATCTTAGAAACCTTTTACTTACCAAGCATTTTAACCATGTTGAAATTTGAAAGATATTATATTTTTTCAGGCTAAATAAAGTAACCTGTTCATGTCAGCTGTGCCTTGGTTTTTTTCCTATGTCCCAAGCTGGCTAGAGAAGCAGTTTGTTTTCACTTTTCCTCTAAGTTAGCAAACTTTTCCATGAAGACATGATGATCCAGATATACCTTAGTGGATGTAATTGTACGTTATTGCTCATACTGTTTCTGTCTGCCTAATCCTTACTGCTACCCTGATCTGAGCCAGTTTTGAGGACTTATTTGGTTGATTTCTATTTTAATTATTTATATTTATCCTACCATGAAAAACACAAATAATATATGATAAGGATCTACTTTTCTTTTCCTTTTGGCAATTATTTTATTGATAGAGTAAAGGAACAAAATCTTAAAATAAAAAGACTATTCAACCCACTATTATATATTGATTTTTTTATGTGTGTATGTGTGCAAAGTCTATAATGCTACAGAAAGGAGTTGCTATCTGCAAGGGAGGTACCTTTTTGGGAAGGGAGACATAAGACACAAACATTGCAAAACTCATCTAAGTACAATGCCACATGAGAGGTTGTAGAAACTTATGAAAGGGAAAAATAACTCCAACTTGGGAAAATTCTTGAGGAGTTGAGACTTATTTAAGATCATATCAGATGTATAATAAATGGGGCATTTCAGAGGAATAGAAAAATGAAAAAATTATGGAATGGGAATGCATTGTGCAAATATGGAGAATAGAGAGTATAGTGGAATGGCAGGCATGCTGTGTGGGAGAGTAGAAGAGGATGGGAACTAAATTGAGTTAGATTGTGGAGAGTCTTGAAAAATTTTTTTCCAAAAAATCAATATTCCTTGGAAAAATTCTGTTTCATCAAGCATGGACCTGGAAAATCATTTGCAGTGTTGCTGACATGAAAAGGAAGCTGCTGTATTTATAAGCATACGCCTTTATAGATTACATATGTAGGTGCTATTAACCTCAGTGTTTTCTGTATATTTCAGACATTAGTCTCTAGCCATGGGGGACTGGAACTTATTGGGTGGCATCTTAGAGGAAGTTCACTCCCACTCAACAATAGTGGGGAAAATCTGGCTGACCATTCTCTTCATTTTCCGAATGCTGGTACTTGGTGTGGCTGCTGAGGATGTCTGGGATGACGAACAGTCAGCATTTGCCTGCAATACCCAGCAGCCAGGTTGCAACAATATCTGTTATGATGATGCTTTCCCTATCTCTTTGATCAGATTCTGGGTTTTACAGATCATCTTTGTTTCATCTCCTTCTCTGGTGTATATGGGCCATGCACTTTATAGGCTCAGGGACTTTGAGAAAGAGAGACATAGGAGAAAGTCACACCTTAGAGTCCAAATGGAGAATCCAGAGCTTGACTTGGAGGAGCAACAAAGGATAGATAGAGAACTGAAGAGGTTAGAGGAGCAAAAGAGGATCTATAAAGTCCCTCTGAAAGGATGTCTGCTGCGTACATATGTCTTACATATTTTGACCAGATCTGTACTGGAAGTAGGGTTCATGATAGGCCAATATATTCTTTATGGGTTTCAAATGCGCCCCCTATACAAATGTACTAAACCTCCTTGCCCCAATGCAGTGGATTGCTTTGTATCCAGGCCCACAGAAAAGACCATTTTCATGCTCTTTATGCACAGCATTGCAGCCATCTCCTTATTACTCAATGTCCTGGAAATATTTCATCTGGGCATCAGGAAAATCATGAGGGCACTTTATGAGAAATCCAGCAGTGGGAGCATTGAGAATGAGAGAGGCCCTCCATTCCATTTGAAGAAATATTCAGGGATCCAACCATGTACAATTTGCTCCTCCTTACCTGAAAGAATCTCTCCACTTCAAACCAATAATCAACAGAAAGTCATCCAAGTCAATGTTCCAAAGTCTAAATCCATCTGGCAAATCCCACAGCCCCCACAACTTGATGTAGATTCTTCCTGTAGCAAAAGAGACTGCACTGAGAAAGATCAGCACAACGGACAGCTCCACATCCATAGCCCATGTCCTCAGGACGGCAAAGCCAGAATTCAGCACCCAGGACAGCAACCATGCCATTCCTCCTTTGGCTTAAGGAATACAGTGTCCCAATCCTGGCTAGGTGCAACGGTGGCCTCTCAACACTGTCCATCCTATGCATTACGAACATGGGAGCAATCCCAGGACCTGGAATCCTCAGGTGAACCTCTCACAGATATGCGCAGTCACTTCAAAGGGAGTGATGGCAGTGTGAGAGAGAGTGGTGTCTGGATAGACAGATCTTGCTCAGGCAATCGCAAGATTAGCTTTCTGTCCAGATTGCTGTCTGAAAAAGGACAGCTGTGCAGTGACTCAGGAAGCTCCAGTTCTCTGAATAGCACCTGCTTGAATTTTTCACACCGGGAAAACAGCCCCTCACCTCTGCCCTCAGCTACTGGCCACAGACCATCAATGGTAAGTAGACAGACAGCCATATTGATCATGGAACAAGAGCTAGTCCACTCTGACTACCTCTTTCCTTTTCCTCTTTCCTGGTGTGTATGTATATATGTGTTAAGAGAGAGGTGTATGGAGGGAGATTAATTCATGAAAAAGTAAATCCATTCAATACCTTCAATTTAATTCAATTCATTAAATTAATAAAATAAAAGTTTAGAAAACATACTTTGTACTAATCACTCTTATAAATATTGTTATATAAATGAATAAAATATCATTTCTTTCCAATAAAGGGCTCAGGCTCAGAGTATAGCTGGGAATAGTGGCACACACTTGCAATCCCAATAACTAGAGAGGATAAGTGAGGAAGATTGTAAATTGGGGCAGTCTAAGCACCTTAGCAAGATTCTGTCTCAAAATACAAAATATAAATGGCTGGGGGTGTAACTTAGTGGTAAAGTGCCTCTGGATTTAGTCCTCAGTACAAAAATCTGGGGGATAGTGCTTAGAGCATAGTTGGGAAAGTTAGACAGATTAACATGTTAGCATAATCAAGTGTAAGGTGCCATACAATGTTAGTGGGAATAAGTGGGTTGGTGGTGGAGTGATCAATTCTGTATGGATGGGTCAGGGAAAGCTTCTACAATTGAAATTACTTTAAACTGGATTTTGAACGATGTAGTGAGTTTCTACAGAACTGGGAGGACTGGAGTACATGGAAGAGGGCTATCCTGGTAGAAAAGGCAGTACAAAGGCTGCATGACACAGAACTGTCTGGGGATCTGTGGGTGGCTGGATCAGGGGGTGGTAAGAGGGCTGTGGAGAGAGGGAAGTTTGGAGAATGAACATGGAAGTCTCATAGGTTGGCAATGTAGAATCAATATGGAATGTGAAGCAGAGGAAGGACTGAATGAGGTTTGCAGTTTAGAAAGTACTTGCTGTCACAATAGGCCCTGAGTTTGTTCGCCAGCACCACAATTCCCACCAAAGGACATAAATGTCTAATCAGACATTGTATTAGTCAGCTTGAATTACTAGAATGAAATATCTGGGGCTGGCTAACTTTATCAAGACATGTATTTAGCTTATGACTCTGGAGATTCAAGGGTAGGGCACTGGCATCAGCTTGATTCTGATGGGGGCTTTCCTGGCTGCATCATATCACAATGGAGGTACATGTGTAAGGAAGGTTCACAGCTTGCAACAGGAAGCCATGGGTGGCGGAGATGGGATCCAATGATCTTCTAAGGGCACCCCTCCAATTGACCTAAGTACCTCCCACTAGGCCTCATTTCATAAGGTTCCACACTATCTCCCACCATTGCCACTCTGGGGATTAAACTTCCAACATATGAACCTTTGGGAGGAAAAACAAAATCCAAACATAGCAGGCATGTTTGACTCTGAATATTGCAGTGTTTTTTGTTTTAAATACTCTGCTTTATTTTTTTTAGAGCAGTTTTAGGCTCACAGCAAAATTAAATAAAAAATTCAGAGAGTTCCCATATACCCAGCCCCCAACTCTCCTCTGCTATTGACATCCTGCACCAGAGTGGTACAATTGTTACAATTGATGGACCTACATTGACATGATTAGCACTCAATGTTCATATTTTACATTTGGGTTCACTCTTGGTATTGTACATTCTTTATATTTTGACAAATGTATAATGGCAAGTACCTGCCATTATAATATTGTACATAATAATTTCACTGCCTTAAAAATTCCCCATGCTCCATTTATTCATTTCTTCCTTTCCTGTAACCTCTGGAAACTACAGATGTATTACCATAGTCTTAACTTTTCCAGAATGTCAAATAGTTGCGCAACCATACAGAATATATATAGTCTTTTCAGATTTATTTTCTCCACTTAGTATTATGAATTTAATTTTCCATGCCCTTTAATGGTTTGATAACTCACTTATTTTGATCATTGAATAATATTTTATTTTCTGGATGTGATATAGTTTATCCATTCACCTACTGAAGTACATCTTGGTAGCTTTCAAGTTTTGGCAATTTTGAATAAAGTGGCCATGAACATCCATGTCTAGCTTTTTGTATGACTATAATTTTCAGTTCATTTGGTTAAATATCGAGGAACATGATTGCTGAATCATATGGTAAGAGAATGTTTAGTTCTGTATTAAACTGTCAAACTCATCATTATCCAAAGAACACATATGAAGACACGAATTGGTGTGAACATACTTTATATACAACCAGAGGTATGAAAAATTGTGCTGTATATGTGTAATATGAATTGTAATGCATTCCGCTGTCATTTATTTTTAAAAAATCAATAAAAATAATTAAAAACCTGTCAAACTGTCTTCCAAAGTAGATATCATTTTTCATTCCTACAACATATGAATGAGAGCTCCCATTGTTCCCCATCTTTGTCAGCATTTGGTGTTGTCAGTGTTTTGAGTTCTGGCCATTGGGTAATGGTATCTCTTTGTTTTTTTAATTTCAAATTCCCTAATACCATATGATGTTGAACATCTTCTCATATGATTACTTATCATCTATATATCTTCTTCAGTGAGGCATCTGTCTAGGTCTTTTGTCCAGGTTTTAATTGGATTGTTTGTTTTCTTATTGTTGAATTTTAATAGTTCTTTGTATATTTTGGAAAAATAGATCTTTGTTATCAGATGTGAGTTTTTTTAAAAAAAGTATTTGTTCAAATTAGTTATACATGACAGTGGAATGCATTTCCATTCATTGTACACAAATGGAACAACTTTTCATTTCTCTGGTTGTACTTAATGTAGAGTCGTACAACATGTACAGTCATGCATGTACCTAGAGTAATGATGTTTATCTCATCTACCATCTTTCCTACCCCCATAGATGAGAGTTTTGCAAGCATTCCCACCAGGCTGTGACTTGTCATCTCATTCTCTCTTGCACAGCAGAATCTTTAATTTTAATGAAGTTCAGCTTATCAATGATTTCTTTCATGGATCTTACTTCCAGTGGTATATCTACAAAGTCATTAAACCTAAGGCAATCTAGGTTTTTTCCTGTTATTTTCTCACAGTTTTAAAAATTTTCATTTCTCATTATATGACAATTTGTGAAGGGTGTAAGGTGTTTATCTAGATTCATTTGGATGTCCAGCTATTTCAGTATCATTGTTGAAAATACTTCCTCTTTGTATTATCTTTGCTCCTTCACTAAAGATCAGTTGGCTGTATTTACATAGGTTTGTTTCTGAGCTTTCTATTCTGTTCCATAAATATATTTGTCTGTTTGTTCACTAGTACCACACTACTTTGATTTCTTTGCAATGACCACTCCAAGAGTACTTTAGTCAGTTATTTTGTATTTTCTAAATGAATGACTATTTTGTCTCCATATAAAAATAGCTTTATTTCTTCCTTTCCAACCTATATGCCTTTTAATCCTTTTTTTGTATTATTGCATCTTCTAGGACTTCAAGTAAGATCGAGAAACATCAATGCTCCTGATCTTAGTGAGAAAACTTCAAGTTTCTCACCACTAAATATGATACTAGCTGTATTCAAGATGTTCTTTATCAAATTGAATTTTACCTCTATTTCTAGTTTTTTAATTTTTAAAAAAATAAGTAACAGTAGTTTGATTTTGTCAAATAATTTTTCTGTAGCTACAGTTATGACCATGTGATTTTTCTTTTATAGACTATTGATGTGATGGATTACATTAATTTTGGGATGTTGAACCAGCCTCGCACACCTGGAATATAAGCACACTTTATCATGGTGTATATATTTTTCACAAATTCTTGGATTTGATTTGCTAATATTTTGTTGAGGATTTTTTTATTTTGTTTGTTTTTTGGTGCTAGAGATTGAACCCAGAGCTTCATGCATGCAAACATATGCTCTACCACTTAGCTATGTCCCAGTCATACTGAGGATTTTTGCTTCTGTGTTCATAAGATATATTGGGGTCTGTGGTTTTCTCATATGTTTTTGTTTGGTATTAGGGTAATGCAGACCTTGTATAATGAGATAGATATTGTAGAGAATTGATAAAATTTCTTCTTTAAATTATTAAAAGTTTGGTAGAATTAAAGACTTTGGTAGAATTCACCAATGAATCCATCTGATCCTGGTATCTTCTGTTTTGAAAGGTTATTATTGATTCAGTTTTGGAGGGTACTGGGGCACTCAACCACTAAGCCACATCCCCAGCCCTTTTTTTTGTATTTTATTTAGAGACAGGCCTTCACTGAATTGCTTAGCACCTTGCTGTTGCTAAGGCTGGCTTTGAACTCACGATCCTTCTGCCTCAGCCTCCTGAGCCACTGTGATTAGAGGTGTGAGCCACTCCACCTGGCTTGATTCAATTTTCAAAATAGATTCAGGCATACTCACATTTCCTGTTTCTTCTTGTATGAGTTTTGCCAGATTGTGTCTTTTAAAGAATTGGTCCATTTCTTCTAGGTTATCAAATTTGTGGGCATAGAATTATTAATAATATTCCATTATAATCTTTTTAATGTTGATAGGACATGTACTGATGTTTCCTTTATTGATTTATAGTTTAATTCTGTTGTGGTCTGAGACTAGTCACTGTATGATTTTTATTCTTTTGAATATGTTAAGGTGTGTGTTTAATTCCTAGAATGTAGTCTGTCTTGATAAGTGTTTTATGTAAACTTGAGAAGAATATGTATTTTGTTATTGTTGGATGAAATAGTCTTTAGATACCAATTATGTCTAGTTGATTGATGGTGCTGTTGAGTTCAGCTATATCCTTTCTGCTTCTCTGCTTGCTGTATGTGTCCATTTCTGACACAGCAATGTTAATATCTCCAACTGTCACCATGGATTCATCTATTTGTTCTTGCAGTTCTAGCAGTGTTTGGCTCTTTTGGCGTTTGGTGGGGTTTGGGAATTGAACCTGGGACTTGAACATGTTAGGCAAGTGCTCTACTACTGAGTTACATCCACAGTCTGCCTCATTTATTATGATGCTCTGTTGTTAGGAACATACACATTAAGAATTGTATCTTCTTGGAGTTGGCACTATTATTATTATGTTGTGCCTCTATTCATCTCTGATAACTCTGATTGCTCTGAAGTATTTAGACCTACTCCTGATTTCTTTTGATTAGTGTTAGATGGTACATCTTCTCCATCCCTTTGTGTTTGGTTCATACC